ATTGCCCTACCTGCCTGTGACGATTTAAACTTGCACGGTACCACACCGAGGTGGATCGTGATAGCGCTCCCGTGTAGAGACACGCGCAGTGAGTAATCCGATCAGTTGCAGGCACGCGTCCATGCACTGCCGCATGATAGCCGCACCACGCCGTGTGAAGCTTGTGGGTCGTTTGGCCAAGGCCGTAATTATAATATATTTTGGGGGACACACATCCCCCCCAATATTCAAATATGCTCAAAATGTCTCCCCCAATATATCGCTATAAAATAGATTTCTGTCTATATGATTGTGGTCATGATTGTTCTTTATGAATCCCTAATCTCTGCCATTTCATACAATGAAACAAGAAAAGGTAAAACAAGAAAAAAAACAGAGCAATGTAATACGATACACTATTAGACATCATTGTTAAATATAAATAAAAAGTCCATCCCATGTGTTAGTGATTTTTTTCATATTTTAGGCAGGAAATAAGTTTTCCAATTTAGATTTTTTCTGGGGGGAACCCCCCAGACCCCCTGCAAGATTTGCTCCCCCCCAATGTTGACTCCATGGCTACGGCCTTGCGTTTGACCATACTTCACCACGGCTGAGTAGTTGCAGCTTGGTGGACGGGGTGTGAGCGGGAGGACCGAGGTTCGGTTCAGCTATCCTTAATCACTGACGTTACCCGTGGCCTGGAAACGAACTCGGGTTACCAGGTTCAAAGCGTAATGCGCTAACCACTGCACTACCGCTCGTGGCTGTTTAAATTGCGATTCATCTCCCACCCCCGTGTTCTACGCGCGCGCAGACCTGCTGGGTATTTTTTGTTTTTATATAAATATGGCTGTAATACAAATCGACGTTGATTTTAAGAATAAGCCCATTGTCGGGAGCGCTTGTTTCAAAACATTTCTCCAGCAAGACAAATGGACCCGCGCGCGGCAAGGGAAACCCTTCGCCTATTTTTAACGCCTCCGCTCATTATATAACACGCACCACCACGATCGGGGGGGGGGGGGGGTGGAGATGGAGTTGGGGGGAACACGTTATTTATCCGAGCGAGAGAGATAAACTATTGACGCCGTACACAATTAAAACACGTGGCTCGCGCGCGCCGCTGCGGGCATTGTGCCCAGCAAATCATTGCGAGAGCAGAGCCGCGCATTGATATTCATCAGGGCGCATACACCACAAGTCGCCACAGGTCCTAACTACCTTCTTTTTTTTGGAGAACATAACACAACGTCACGGCGCGGGTATGTTTGGGTTGGAGTTAACGCAAACATCGCGAGACGAAATGAGCAAAGACCCCGAGCGGCGGTCGGCAAATGCGTCATTAATTACACTCGATGGGGGCAACCCCAACGAGCTCGATTGCTCTTTGGGCCAAAACATGAATATAGAATATCACACACAACCGCAAGCGACGTCGTTCCGTTTCCCAAGGTGGCGTAATTGATTCCGCTTTTGCAGCAGGACGGCTTGGGGCTCTTGCAAAGCGTCGTTTGGTCGATTTGAGAGTGAAGATTTTTGTTCAATCTTGACTCAAAGCTTTCGTGACTGCAGGAATTCATATTCTTTGGGTCTTTCGATAAAACCACGTAGATATACATAAAACATAGTAAAAATAATAACAATATCACGACGTTCCGATCGCAACACAAGCAATCGTCATCAGGTGACGTTTCAATCGCAACACAAGCGATCGTCATCAGGTGACGATCGCTTGTGTTGCGATCGAAACGTCGTGATATTGTTATTATTGTTATTATTTTTTTATATCTACGTGGCTTTACCGAAAGACCCAAAGGATATGAATACGATTTTTGTTGTTGAAAGAGTTTCACTTCAATGTATCATTCCTGTCGTTTGCGTTGGGAAAATAAAATAAAGGGATATTTTGAACACTTATTTGCGAACTCCATAACCGATGGAAGTGCAAATTAATCTCGCTCCAAAAAAATCCCTCTCCTCCGTTGCTTCGTGTTAATGCATATAATTGTGTTACGAATGTAAGGTTTATTGTTTTACACGCTTTCACGCAAATTTGTACTAGGAAAATAAAATTCCCGGCTGACAGCTGGATAAATGTCCCAGGAAACACTTTAACCTTATACTATTTCCTGCTGATAGATTTTTTTTGAAAATATTTTTTTTTCGCTACGTTACTTTAAAATGCGCTCAGACCTCAAGGCCGCGTATAAGTTTGCACGGGCGCGTCGATCAAAATCGGCCACAACGCCACAACTAAGCCGTGTCCGACGAGGCGAGTGTAGCCGTGGGGTACCGAGGGAGCCCCCCCCCCTCCACTTCCTACCACCCCCCCCCCCCCCCGGGAGGGAGCGCCACCTCCTCCTGTACCTCGCCACCCCACCACCTAACATCGCTTGGCCTTGTTTGTTGCTCTTACGGATGAGAGGGCAGCGATGGATCGCCGCGCGAAAACTTCCTGGGATCCGGGATAGAGGGAGCGCTCGGTCTCCCCCTCTCCCACCGGCTGGTGCCTCGGCTCGCCTTGTGTGTGAAGTGTGAAATTTTCCAGATGGCGTCCGCGATGCCGCTTATTTTATATTTATTCTCGTCTTTGTGTTTTTTTTTTACTTTAGGAAGTCGGTCCCACGACGGGAAAGAGTCAGCTCTAATGTAAACCGAGTGGCTAATTAACGTCTTACATTAGCGCTAATACGCTGATGGACCTGCAGGTGGTAACCCCATAGCGTGCGCCACAAGGATTTGTCTTTAACACCTTGAAGTCGCTCAACTCGACGCATTTTCCTCTTTGCGTGTGTTCCTCGATTGCCTTTGATTCGCCAACCCACGTCATTGCCCCTTTTTTTGCGGTCATTCCGGTTCCGAAGAGACTGCGATTGTCACAATTGCGAGTGTGCAATGTAATCAAATGCGCATGCATGTTGAACTTCTTTCGCACCGTACGTAGCCAACTGCGCTAATCGGAGGTGCGGGTAGGTCGCTTGTGTAGGTTACTTGCAGTCCAACACGGAGTACAGCGTGATGTGTGCAAGTGTTGTGCATCTGTCCCCGTGTGTGTGTGTAGTAAGTGCGCTGCGCTACGAACCTGGCGACCCGAGTTCGATTCCCGCTCACGGCCAACACCAGTAACGATTATCTGAACCGGCCCTGGGCCTCCCCTAGGTCGACTCAGTCTCAAATGAGTACCTGGTGTGATGTGCGAGCATCGCCACTAGGGAGACAAAGGCGGCCGGGCGTGGTGTTGGCCACCCACCCCTTCGTGTGCCGTGCCGGCCTTCATAGGTGCTCGCTAACAGCACTTTCCCCAACAGTCTGTTAAGGCTAGACGGGGGATCTTTATCTTTGTGTCAGAGGGCTTACACGTACGTTAGTGTGTGTGCTAGATGCTCACTAACAGCGCTTGGCCCAACACAGCCTCATGTCTGCTTTTGGGGTCATCTTTGTACGTGTGGGGGCTTAATCGGCAGCACGGGTGGTGCATCTGACAATCATCTCAGTCTGTGCACCCATGACACCTGGGGTCCATTCCGTGACCTCCTGCCACCCAGCCTTCGACAATCCGCGCAGCTTCAAAGTGCACCACGCGACAATCGCCATTCGCCACTAAGTGGGCACCATCACGGCGCTTGTGCCCAGGCTACGGGCACCTTGAGGACACCATCGAGCTTGGCACACGCACCGCGAGGACTTTGGGGAACGTCACTGACCGTGGCTCTGTGGCGGATGGTGGCTGCTGCTGCTGCTCTTGTTGTGTGAGATGGAGTGCGTGGGTGTGAAGGGAGGGAGGGGAGGGATGGAGGAGGGATTGGGGAGGGGCACCGCCGAAGTTGTCAGTGCTTGGCGATATGAACTCCCGTTTATCTGGGTTCAATTCCCTGCACATGGGGCAGAGCATCGCTGGCGGCAAGCAGTATCATAAATACCTGCCCAGGGCCTCCCCTCTGTCCACTCTGCCGGTAATACAGGTGGTGCATGACTCGCTGTGTGTACATCAGCCAGGACGAGACAAAGAGTGTGTAATTGCCAACATAATTTAATCTTGGTGTTTGCGAGTGCTGTACATGTATTCATTTTGTTTACCGAGAAAACAAAACAACGTTCGTCTATTATCGTCAGTTTGCTCTGTGTGTGTATGTTGCACGTTATAAAAAAAAATGATAAACTACATTACCGCATTCATTGTATTATGAATTAATGACCATTGCTCTAAGCGAGAGGAAATAACTTAGTATGATATATCGGGATATATATGGAGAGAGTTCCGCTCTTTAAAACTATCCCGTAGCGTACGTCATGAGTATTTAACATAATTTATGTTCGCAGGTGTTTACGATAGTCGCCGTGTGTTCGGATACGGCGTTTGGAGTTAGTTATATCTTGTGATCCCGGCGTTCTGAGTCAGAGTCCTCTCGCCATTGGGCATTAAACGAGAGTAAACTGGCGGTACGGTAACTTGGATCGCGTGTGCTCGATTTTGGTCACACTAACCTCACCATGTGCCCGCCGTATCGCCCTTAAACAGGTGCTCGCTAACATCACTTGCTCATACGGTTAGTGTCGTTTAAACGGGGGGAGAGTTGAATATGTATGCAATGATGTGTACGTACCACTTGACCTACCTTGTATAGCATTAGTTGTGCATTTACTGACAGTCGCGTAGCTTCATTAACCTGTCAATCCGGCCGAGTGGCGCTGTTAACGTTACGCTCGACTTCACAGTTGCGATCCTGCGAGTTCGAATCCCATTCGGCGGGTCGTCTCAGCTCATCAGCCGTGCAGGAGGGGTCGATAAAATAACGGACCCACTTGTGAGAGCTCCAACAGCGGTTGACCTCCACGCCGTAGGAATGCGACAATTCCTCCACTGGCCCAGAGCCACGACTCGCGTAGGAGCTGCCTTGAGCAATGGGGGTCTGGGTGCGGGGGGTGGGGGTGCAGGGTCGGGGGGGGGGGGGGTGCGCGTCCGTGCCATCGTTGACTTGAACTAACGAGACCACCATCACACGTGCGTTCGTGCGTAGATCCGGGGTTCAGGGGCAGCTACAGCCAGCTGCCAACTCCGCCGCCCACGCCGCTCGGACCGTGCCCCGCCATGGGCAGCAAAGCGCTGCCGGCGCCCATCCCCATCCACCCGTCGCTGCAGATCACCAACTACTCCTTCATGCAGGCGGTGAACGCCTTCCCGTGCGCGCTCGACCAGCTGCAGGGCTTCTATGGCAGCTTCAGCGCCCTGCAGGCCATGCAGGTGAACCAGTGGACGCTGGGCTACCAGCAGCTCGCCGCTCTCCGTGGGGGCGACCTCCCGCCGTCGCCCGGCGGGTTCCTCGACGTGTGTCGCCTCCCGCTGCCGGGGATGCCGCTGTCGCCCCAGGCGTTCCACGGATGCAAGGCGCTCGGCGTGAAGAAGGAGCGCCCCCGGTTCGACTTCGCGAACCTGGCCCTCGCCGCCACGCAGGAAGACCCGTTCCCGAGCAAAGGAGTGCCGCGCGCCTCCGATCAGAGCCGCGGCGGGGGCGACCACGGGTACGCGCCCGCGGCCGCGGTGGGGGACGGCAGAGCCAGGCCGAGTCGGGGCCGCCTGCCCGTGAAGACGAGGAAGGAGTTTATCTGTAAATTCTGCGGCCGCCACTTCACCAAGTCGTACAATCTCCTTATACACGAGAGGACGCACACGGACGAGAGGCCGTACACGTGCGACATTTGCCACAAGGCGTTCAGGAGGCAGGACCATCTCAGGGATCACAGGTGCGCCAACACCACCACTGATTTGCAATTGCTGTTGTTGTTGTTGTTAGCGCTCGGTCGCCTTCAATTTAAACGACGTAGACGCGAAACGTCGTAGGCGATTGTTAGACGTCTGTGGCTTGCGCTCATCTGTACTGAAGCGGCAATGCATTGGCAAGTGCACGCGACGACTTTGTGAATCGACTGTGTCGGGTGGAGGAGGGTATACGACACACGTTTTATTTACACAATCTGACCCAACATATTATCAATAATGAAACAGTAACGGTTGCAAGAACGGTACTCCGTTCAAGAGTTGATTGATCTCTGATTCTTTCGGGGGTCGATAAATCAGGTACCCCGCTTTGTGCGACGAATGTCAAACAGTGGCCGTCTCGGGAGTAAACTGACCTTTCGTCACAGCAATGGGGATATCTCAGCACTGGCTTAGGACCGTGCAATTGAGATGAGTTGCTGCCCGGTTCCTCGTTTGAGCAGGGAGACACGTTCCGTTTTGGCCAATGTGTACAGAGATGAATGACTTCGTGTAGTGCATTCCTCGAATGTACATTATAAACCTCGTTAAAGCTTTGAGATAGCCGTATTGTAACGGCCGTGCGCGTGTACACTTGTGTTGATGCAATCCTAGTCACACCATACATTCTTCATTATTTGCAACGGTTGTTTTTGCATGCTTAAATCGCATCAATGTGCTTTGTATACACTTTAACGCACGGACACATATATAAGATATACTATTGATATGAATTACGGCAATTGCTCCAGCAAGCACCTTATAAATATCCCTCCTTGTTGTTTCAACTGACAGGTACATACATTCTAAAGAAAAGCCTTTCAAGTGCCAAGAATGTGGCAAGGGGTTTTGCCAGTCTCGGACTCTGGCAGTCCATAAAACGTTGCACATGCAGGTAAAAGACTAAAGGAAGACGCTGTCATATGATTTCCCAGTAAGTTGTTGCAAAAAAAAACAAAAATGTGTTTATTATGCCTTGCGAATCATTTATCTGCACGAACACATATTTAATTCATTCCCAAACGCTGCACACTTTGCCTAACGATCGCTATGCAACTCCATGCGTGAACACAACGAGATTTCCACTGATCCAGTTGCATTTAATGGCCAAGTAATTGCAAATCCGTATAATGTAACTTTTATTCGTATATATGTTTTACACCTTTTTTTTATTAGAGGGTGAACCACAATAGACAGGGGCTTTGAGTTTAAATAGCAGTGGGTTGTCAAACCGAGGTCGATAAAACATATCCTAGTTTGTTGAACGTTATCAGTGTGGAAATAATTATGTCCTGTGATGAAACTGATCCTCATCGTAGGAATGTGGAATTTTACATCACATTATCCGGCCACCGTTGGAGTTCAGCACCGTATCGCATTATATTTTGAACTTTAACATTGGATATATATATACAATCTTAAATGTCAGACCCCGTTGTCAATCTACTGCTCCGTTGGTAATGGGATGGGGATGTTTGACCATACTTCACCACGCTGGTCAGTGCGGGTTGATGAAGTGGAGGAGGGAAAGAGGAAGATCGGTCCAGGTTTAACTCGCCCCTGATGTCAGCTGACAGCCGTTAATTGAACCTCAATCGCCGAATTAATAGCCGCAACTATGCCAGGTACTGAGCGACTACTCGCCCATGAATAGCCTACCCAGTTTTTACATAGTGTGGGACTTTATATGATATCTGGTTAATAAAAGTTTCGCAATCATACCGCCACGTGCGGTTAATGTGTTTTTTTTTGGGGCTCATGTTAAATGTTGTTACCGATAGAACACAACTGTGGGACTTCAAATCAGCGTAGGCTTCGTTCGCGGTAAATCCATTAACATGAATATGCAGCTATGCAGTGCATGTGGAGGCTGTTATTGTACGTACAGCAGTCGTGCGTTTGATGTTTGATTTACTATTATTAACACGACAGCATAGACACGCGCGTGTCGTTGAGTTGAGTGCATTGCAATATCCTGTGTGCGTACACAGTCGCTGTTTTGGAACCGGTTTCACATCCACAAACCATTTCACCGTGGATTGCGTTACGCTCTACACGCGAATATATATATAGGTGGATCTAGTTGCCTTTATTACGCGAGCATAGGCATGCACCATTGTCATCCACATCAAACACACGTTAACTAATTGTTCAAGCGACTTTGAACACACGTTGTGCACACATATGCTGTTCACGTGACAAACAAAAAGCCACGATTAGCCGGACGGGAATCTTCCACTGAACAAGTGGAAAGCGCAAAGCACCGAATTAAGAACGCCACGGTACTGTCGATGTCAACACATCGTAACAGTTACTGATTTGAGGCTGAGCCAACTTAGGAGAGGGCAGTGCAGCGTCACATACCACTTGCTTCTAATGTTTCGCTTGGCCGGGAATTGAACACAGGTCGACAAGGATCGGAGCGGAGTGACACAGACTCGATCGAACAAAACAAAATATACCACGTTTAGAATGCTGGAGTGAGTGCAATTATTGAGCACCTATTAAGGCCTTGCAACGACACACAGACACACATATCGCGTGTGTCGCCTCGCGGACGTTAGTGCGAATTTATGTGGGCGCACGCCTTGCTAAACACTGACACCACAATTACACACGTAGACTCGCGCTCATTGAAGAGCACAGCACATCTGGACAGCAACTGACTGACGTGTTGCCCTTCTGTTTGCACGTGCGGGTGATGTGTTGCTAATGTGTGTGCGTCTGCATGCGCTTGTGTACGTGCGTGCGCGCACTGCGCGTGTTTGTACGTGCGTGTGTGCGCGCGTGTGTGTGCGCGTGTGTGCGCGTGTGTGTGCGCGCGTGTGTGTGCACGTGCGCGCGTGTGTGTGCGCGTGTATGTGCGTGTGTGTGCGCGTGTGTGTGTGCGCGTGTGCGTGTGTGTGTGCGTGCGTTGCGTGGGGAGCGGTAGTATAGCGATTAGCCCGCTGCGCGATGAACCTGGCTGCCCGAGTTCGATTCCCGCTCACGGCCAACACCGGTGGCGATTATCTGAACCGGTCACGGGCTTCCCCTAGGTCGACTCAGCCTCAAACGAGTACCTGGTGTGGTTTGTAAATGTCACCGCTGGGGAGACAAAGGCGGCCGGGGGTGGTGTTGGTCACCCACCCCCTAGTGTGCTGTGCCGGCCTTCACAAGTGCTCGCTAACAGCACTTGCCCCAATAGTCTGTTCAGGCCATGCGACTGGGGGATCTTTGTCTTTGATCATTGTGGCGGTGTGCGCGCGCGCAACCCCCCGCAGGAATCGCCACACAAGTGCCCCACGTGCGCGAGGACGTTCAACCAGCGCAGCAACCTGAAGACTCACCTACTGACACACACGGACATCAAACCCTACAACTGCGAGCACTGCGGAAAGGTGTTCCGACGCAACTGCGACCTGCGGCGGCACAGTCTCACGCACAGCCTGCGAGACGTCTTCTGAAGAAGGATGCAGGCAGCAGCCTGGCATGCCCACACCATCACTACCCCCCCCCCCTCACCAACTAACATCTTCACAACGCAACAACGATCAGGCCAAGCCCGCATCGGCGCCCGCCATGCGACGCGGCTGTTTGTGCGCTCCCCGCTCGAAGCAAAGAGCACGGTGCGGAAGAAGTTGGAGGTACGTGCGTGCGTTCTCCCGCAGTGCCCCGTTGTCAGAGAGGGGCCTCGCCACTTTCTTTTTCGGGAAGGATGATGATGATGATGACGAAGAAGAATAATCCAAGACGTTACATTCGTGAACGGTGCCAGAAGGAGGAAGATCTGCGTGCATGGTAGACCTCTACAATGCAATGTGCCTTACCGCCCGCCGGTTTCCGAGTGCTTGCTTGTGGACTCCAGAGCCATTCATCAGTGCTTCATCGCAAGCCATACGCACCCTGGCGCACAGCCAGCGTGCATAAGCAGAAAAATGTGCACTCAGCCACCCAAAGCGTCTTACAGCTAAATGCTACCTTTTTATACTAATTATATATATTTTTACAAAAAAAATAGAAGCTAAACAAGCAGTTCCAAGGAATGTTTCCAAGTGCTGTGTTTATATGCAAAAGGCGCTTATGGGATAACGCCGGTGATGATGAGGACGATATGTCAAAGAAGAGCTCACAATTTTGACTTCGGGAACTGATCTCTTGTGCTTTTTTTTGAAGGCCTTACAATTATGGAAGGAGAGGCTTCATTGCATCGTTGATTGATTTTTTTCCTACTGTATATTTTTTGTTGACTAAAATCTTGTCGATCAGATGCCATCATGGAGTTATAATTTGTGAAGTGGCATTGAGTACTGTGTACCTGCGCGCCCTGTTAAGACAAATTAACTTACATTTTGTTTTACTGTGCTACATATATACATCGCCAATACACACTTTTAAAATGTTTATTTTTTTTGCAAACATCGTGAAATATTAAAGCAGATACAAATGAATGTTCAACTGTTTAGATCGGGTAAAGTGGGTAGTCACGATCGGTCTAATGAGTGTGTTGTGTGTATCATCACAGTGCCAATGACAAATGTCCACTTGCCTTGTCAATCTTAACGTCGGATATGCCTGCATGCCACATGTCAACAACAATAATAACAATAACAGCAGCCGCGGATGATTGGTAACAGTGCTAACATGCAGTACAGCATTGCTAACAAACAGAAAAACGAAGTGCCTTCCTATATAATGGAAACAGTTGTATGGTTTCTCGAAAGGACAAAAGCGATCACGATTCATGTTCCTGGCTGGGCCGTGGACCCAATGCGAGGTCGGTGTTGACATCAAATGTGTGTGTGTGTGTGAGTGTGTGGATCTTGATTGGGAATTTGAACAGTTTGCATTTAAAATAATAAAATATTTACGCATGCACGGATACATACACAGACGCAGATCACTCATATCGATTGAACTTGCGAGTTGAGAACTTTGTGCTGTAACTGTGCAAACAGAAATGTCATATTTACACGTAAACACAAAGATTCCCCCTACAGCCTTAAGAGACTGTTTATGGAAGTGCTGTTAGCGAGCATATTTGGAGGCCAGCACGGTGCACGTGGCGATGTTTATACACCGCACCAGGTACTCATTTGAGTCGACCTCGGGGAGGCACATGGACAAATTCAGATAATCGTCACTGGATTTGGCGATAAGCTGGAATCGAACTTGGGTAGCCGGGTTAGGCACACGAGGGGGTGGGTAATCATCACCACGCAAGGGCCCCGTCTGTCTCCCCAGTGGTGATGTTTACACACCGCACCAGGTACTCATTTGAGACTGAGTCGACCTACACAGCGAGATACACACACACATTCCTCAAGCGGTCGTTATAGGACTGTAGGAATTCTTGTACCGTTAGCGAACATCTATCGGGGTGTGACATTGCAAACGCAATATGGGTGCAACTAGAAGTTCAGCGTACATACAAAACCTCGGCCACGTCTGTCTCTCCCACCTCTTTGTTCACCACACCCCGGGTACTTCCTGCAAAGGTGTCGTTGACCGGAGCAACAACAACAACAACCGCCGCAGTTCGCCGCGAAGTTGGCAGTATCGTCACCACGGCCCTTGTTGTGCCAGGCTAGGTGCACGCCCAGGAAAAGTTCAGGTATCGAGTGCCACCGGTGTTGTCCGTGGCCGGGAACAGAGAACCCCAGGTTGCCGCTGAACACGCAAAGACGAAACCCGCAAGCGCATCGTCAAACGCGTGTCTCGGTGACGATTTGTGCCAATGCAACACGCGTGCCTTGTTCCTATTTTTTTTTTTGCACAGCTGTGACAGCCGGTTTTTTTTTTTAAATATCGTGAACGGCGACCGTGGCTATTTCCCTCTACAGCAAAGCCTATCTTTGACTCGGGACATCTCTTTCTTAATAAACTTCCTGCCAAGCAGGGTGCCAAAGTCCAGCTGTCCGGGTCGTTCGGTTTTATCAAGAGCCTCGTATGCAAAGCGAGCTGCAATCAACTGACGCGCGAATGATTGTGACTGCAATAGATCGTTGTTTGTTGTGTATGTATGTTTTATATCAAACGGAAGGCACGTGCAACACGTATATACGGCAATAAAGAATATTATACACACGTGAAGTTAAACCCTTTCATCCATCGATTGTTACTATTATTATGATTAATTATTCGTGTAAAACAATAATTGTGGTGATGCTGCTGCTGCTGTTGCATTGACAGTGGTGCACGATCACAATTAAACAACAACACACATCCATGCATTCGTCAATAACACTGTCTTTGAATTCAAATGTACGTAATCGGCGACGATTTAGGTAATGGCCCTTCTTCATGGGAACCTAAATCAATAAAGAAGGGCCATTGCCTGAAACGTCGCCTGTTATTGTTTGTGGGGGTTTGCTTTACGTCCACGGTATTATTGACGAATGTGTTGAGGTCTTTATTTATTTGTTTTTGGTGTAAATGTTATTACGGCAATTAAACCGCAGATAATGCTTGAAAATGTTTCATGTGATTTGCATGAGATGGTTGATATCATGGCCGTAGTGGCTCTATAGCGTCGCAGAACACACCGCGCATACTTGAGTGCAATAACAGACGAGCGATATATTGAGGTCTACTTGCCAATTGATTCGTGGTGTTGTTATGGGCAAGAGATTAGCTGACTCAAGCGTCTGTGCATGCTGGATGGGTATACGTACGAGCAAATTGACGTGTAATGTGCTGCGGTTAATATTTTATTTACGATCGAATAAACTATTGCATAACCGAGCACAAGGGGACGCGGCTGGGTGACTCTGATCAATTTGTACCCGCGCGCAGCTGTTGAAGGCGGACGACCTGCTTTATGGGGGGAGGGGGCTCTTGATCATACGTCACCACGCTGGTCAGTGCGGGTTGGTGTTAGGTAGCGGGGAGGGCGCGGGGGCGATGAGAGGACCGGTTCTGATATGTTGACCGTTCCTCACGATGGAACTCCGGCGGGTTGCCGGGTTTCATAGCGCAACGCGCTAACCGCTGCGCCACCGATCATCCAAGCACGTGGTGCGCGTGCACCCACCGTCTGTAGGGCTATATTGTTACAACGCAGGAACGCACAACTTGGGAGGCGTGACGCATTGAGGTCCCCGCGTCTCTTGACATTCTCGCAGCGGCGATGAGTGTCACTGCATCGCGCAGACATGTCGAACGGCGTGTTCCTCCAGATTCCTGCTACGTCGATGCGTGCGGAAATCGCGACGTGGGTGCAGAGATGACAATCGGCGGGGAGTTGTAACAAGAGCAACAAGCGCGTGGAGTTTAATTTTCATTTCTTACTTGAAAATCACAGCGCCGCACACGGCAAAATTGTGGAATGCAAATTGGACGATCGTGACTGATTTGAAGCGAATACGAGGTTTCCGAAAGGCTATATCGATCATATTTGCCACGAATATAGACAGACTAATATGCGCTTATAAGTAGAACAATAAGAACACTCTTACTTCTTCTCATTTGGGAGCCCTCATGCGTTACGGCGCGGAGGTTGATTGATTCGTCTCTCACGAGGTAAGGTCACGCAGCCTAAAGGTCAACATGGCATAAAGTTTCGTGGGAAACGATTACAAACATCGATCGATGCTCCTAATCAGTGACCCAAGTAATGACATTTGATGGGTTTTTTAATGCTAAAGGACTGCGCTTTTATCTCGATAATAACGTTAAATAAATTACGCTGGAGTCAAAATATCATGTATGTATGTATGCGGCGCCTTGGCGCTGCAACCGTGCTTATTTGATTTGTATACATTTTGAAGAGGATAAAAATCAACGGAATGATGATCGTCACAGGCATCCGTATACGTTGTCTTAATTGGCCAGTGGATGTTGCTCACGTTATGTGCGTGCGCAGTGAGTGGAGGTGGGAGATGGGGTGATAACAGCGCTTACGAAGATTTATGATATCATCATCATCATTATCGTCAGCCATGGTCAATCCACTGCTGCATCATGAGAGGTCCAATGTAACACGTAGAGACTGTTGGGAGGCAAGTACTGATGGGAAAAACATACATTTGGGGAGAAAAAAAAGACATTTGCAGCTCATCGGATTCCTCCGGTATTAATCAAGTTGTATCGCTGTTAACGAGCAACTATTCAGGAAGGCATGTTCCGATCTGCACGGTTGGCTCCGCATGGTGCAAACAAGTTCCACATGCATACGGACAAAGGATGACATGCCTCGCACGGCGCCCTACGGTATTCGTCTGCCCACTGCCGCCGATGGTCTACCCCTTGGCACAAGGTACCCCATTTAAGGTTGAGCTAACCTAGGGGAGGCACACATGAGGGATAATAACACCACTGGCCACTGACGTTCTGCTGTATGGTCGGGGTGCAAAGATATAGAAAAAGGTTCCCCGTATAGCCTTCACGGACCGTTGGGACAAGTGCCATTAGGGAGCACTTATGAAAGGCCGGCGTACGAAGAGGCGGGTGGCCAAAACCACGCCCGACCGCCTTTGTCTCCCCCATGCTGCTGCTTATATAACGCGTCAGTTGCGCATGCGAGGTTGAGCCGACCTAAGCGGGACCACGCAAGCAATCGTCTTCAGGTGGGACGGCAAATGAAGACGCTTGCTTGTGCGGCGAT